ATTATGGCTTCAAAAGGCAGTTATAACAATACTTCAGGGACTATCAAGAAAAATTTAAATGGAAACAATCTTAATGGTATTTACTGAAACTATATGAAAACTTCTGCTTTTTAGCAATGGATGCTACAATATTTAGAGCTTCATAACTACAATTTACATCAAAATGGTTTCACAAAACTATACCAAAAAAAATGGAGGAAACAAAGGTTATGGTTTCCTGTTGCATTAAAAAGCTCTGTAACCACCAGAATTGTTGAAACCAGATTACTGAAAACCTAACACTCTCTGAACTAATGTGGGGTCAGAACAACCAAAGCCCATGCTGACTGTTCAGGGTCTTTTGTTTCTAGGTCACCATAACCTGATAGTCCAACCCCACTGACTGGCTACAAAGACTCCTCTTCATGCTATATGTAAGACCAGAGGTACAAACTCAAACCTTGAATAATCCAGGCTCAAAGTTCAGGTTCTAGAATCCAATAATCAGGTGACCATTAATTTCAGGGCAATGGAATCTGCCATTAATATGTGCTATTTCACACTCAGGATACTCTTCTGAGGAAACTGAGGCTTGGCCCTGTTAACCACACTGCCAAAGGGCATAGGGCTGGGAAGCAGCCCCAGTGCCAAAACTTCGGTCTGATCCACTCCACTTCCTGACCCCAGCACACTGTGGAAAGGGGCGTGTCTTCTTCGGATTTGGTTGAAAGCACCCTAGCCTTCACTACAAGCTGGCTCCAGCATTCCTGATAGACAGCACTTCTTGTTTTTCAGTAGCGGAAGGAGCTCAAGCTTGCAGAATTAAGAGAAAAATGCTGGGGTGAGGAGGGGAAGCAGACCACACCCGTTCCCATACCTCTTCTGTCAGGCCAAATGCACACTGCCCTCCACAAAATCTTGTGTTTTGTTTGATGAGGCGGAATCTCGGTATAAGTAGCTCAGGCTGGCCTTGAATGCTCTATCCTCCTGCTTTTGCCTCCTGAGTATTGGGATTACAGGTGTGTGCCTCTGCTGGGATTCTAAAAATACGTTTCCCAGGTACCATAATCCCCCATTTTATCATATATACTTGACCTTGTTCTCTCTGATCATCTCCACAGGTTTTCTACAATGAGATACAAACATTATGCTCCCCTCCATTGCTGGCTGCAGGTAGACAGAAACCATAGAAAGACAGAGCCACAAAAATCCTAAGTGAGCAGTCCACGTCTTGCTTTTTATTGGCACAACCTATAGTCACCTGGAAGATGGAACCTCAATTGGAGAACTGCCTAAAGAAGACGTGTGGGCATGTCTGTGAGGAACCATCTTAACTGTTTATTGCCACTGTGGGCAATCCTATGCCTAAGCAGGTAGTCTTGGGCTGTACAGCTGAGCATAATTAAGTGAGCTAGTAAGTAGTGTTCCTTTAAATTCTTGCTTTCTTGTACGAATGTACTGACTTCCTTCTGTGATGGACTGTGACCTGGAAATGTAAGCTGAAATAGATTCTTTCCTCAAGTTGATGTGGTCAGAATGTTTTATCATAGCAGCAGAAAAGCAAATTAGAATAGTTCACCACCACTGCCTTTACTGAAATCAGTATTCTGAATCCACGGAGGGCTACTGCATATTACCTTGTACCTGGTAATACACTCTGCTCTAGGTGCTCCTGGAGCAGATCTCTAGCCCCTCCAGTGAGCCAGAAACCAGCTACAATTCCACAGAAGCAGGGAGATGCTATGAACAAGGCCTGCAGTATCCTGACACTCAGAGAGAGCTGGGGATGCTCTCTATCCATTGCCGAGTCCCCCTCTGTCCCTTACAAAGTTGAGGCTCTCATAAATACCTAACCTGCAACACACTGGCGGGTGGGGAGGGTAACACTGTGATTTCTGGAAACACAGTGGATCCTGGGCATGATTCTTGGCTGTGAGAATCACTGTGAGCTGCAAACACTCTGAAGAAGTGTCACTGTGAAGGTTCGCACCTCCGAGGCAGACAGCTACCGCCAGCCCAGGTCAAAGAGGGATGCATCTGAGCTCTGGCCCCACACTTTTTCACAGCCACTCTGCTCCAGGTGTTAAATCCTCCTCCTACACCTGTGATTTCTTCTGCCCCACATCTACCACCTTACTTCCTGCCTCCTCAAACTCTTACAAGCCAGAGAGAGATCCTAGAAGACAATGAATCCCCAGGTGTGGACTCTAGTGCCCAGTGAGGCAAGTCGAGGGCCTAGGTTTGCAGTCTGACCCTCAGGGTTCTTTCAGTTACCCCTGCATCTCCTCAAACAGGTTCCTGGGCCTCCCAGCAGGAGCCCCTTCTTCCTGTCATCCCAGAATACTTAGCTTAAGGCTCCATGTCCTGTGAGACTCCCCACTTAACTGTTCACAGGGTGCAGGTTAAGACCCATTTCTCAATCTAAATTAAGTTCTTCCAGAAGTAAACTTCAGCTGGCTACCTCTAACAAACCTGGAGAGGCTAGACTTCAGGGCAAAAGGCAAGTGATCTGGCTAGGTGAACTAGAGAAATGGCCACACCCCTGCTGGCTACCGAACGTGATGTACCCCAATATTATAGCCCTAGTTATTGCTATGGGCTGGGTGCCAGGCTGAATTGGGAATCCGGTGACCATGGTCCCACAGCCCAAACAATGGTGTTTTGAGAGCAGTGTAAGGCACTCATACCACCAGGGCAAGGCTTTGACCAGGTTCACTACAGCGGAAACTCCCACAGGGCTCAGAGGCAGCTGCCAGCTGAGAGGTCAATGAGACAAGGCTTTAAAATACCCAGTTCTACAACTGACCTCTTGTGTGCCCTGCCTTAGGAGAAAGCTGCAAATTTTTTGTGTTTGTGATTGGAAATTTGTCTCCCATCTCTTGCCTATGACATTCCCCAAAGCTGTCTGTGCTCTGTACCAAGACTTATAAAAGGAACGCTTTATCATCGAGGAGTGTCAATACATACCCCATCAACTGGATCTCTGGAGATTGGCCCAGGTTTTGGTTAAAAAACAAAAAACTGACAAAAAAACAAAAAAACCCACAAAAACTCCCAAGGTGATTCGAATGTGTGTCAGTGATGGGGACTCTTGCCTAATCATTAATTACAAGTGGAAAAGTGAGGTTAGAGCCTTGGCTTGGTCTGCCAGATGGCAGAGATGATGAGAGTCTGGAGGTCCTTCCACTGCTACCCTCTGGTGCCTGGAAAGTGGACATCCCAGGGAGTCATGTGGAGGAAGAGGCTGCAAGACTGAAGAATCAGACGGCCCAGAGGGAAAGGGTGGTGGGGTGGTGAGCTGGGCATTATAAACACAAGTGTGGACAGGATGGGGCACAGGGGCTGAGCAGACAAGGACAGAGAACTAGAAATAGATTAAAAGAGCTGGTGGCCGCACTAAGAATTCTGGAATCTGGCGGAGTGTGGTGGCACACACCTGTCACCCCAGCACTCGGGAGGCTTACAAAGGAGGACTGGCACACATTCAAGGTTACCCGGGTCACATAGCAGGACCCTATCTCCAAACAGTAACAAAAACGGCTCCCTGCACTCCCACTCTCCTCCCCTGGCCTTGGACTAACTGTTCCCTCAGGCCCAGCTCAGCCACATAAAGAATTCTGAATTTCATCCGAGCACTCTTGGGAAACCACGGAGGGTTTAAGCATGATTTATCGAGTGCTCACTGTTTCAGGAACTGAGGTTACACGGGGAATAAGAGGCATTCCTTGCCATCTAGAACTGCCATCTCTCCAGTGACTGCAGCAGTGATCTACTAGCAAATGTGGTTTAAAGTTTACCCTCTGGTGATCGGAGGGGCCTACGACCTTCCATTCTTTTTTTCCTGTAGTAACTTTCTCCCCAGTTCATTTCTGGCGAGTCCGTGCTTAGGGTGGAGCTCTCCCTCAGTTCCAGGGTGAAGCAAAAACATCAGTCTTAGGTATATTAATAACCCATACCCTTTGGTTCAGGGGAAAAACACAAGTCCATTGCAAGTCACAAGGAGACCTAGCTGGGAGAGGGGAAAAAAGTTCTTGTTTTCTCAGGACCTTGCAAGTCATTTGCTCCCAGAGCAATCATCTTGCTGTGCAGACGACTGATCTCTTGATAAGTAAGCCAATCTAGGGAAATGAAGGGGAAAAAGCATTATCTTGACAGCACTATGTAAATCCTGTGCCCAAAACTAGCCCTACCCTTAAACCTGTTAGTCCCATGAGCCAATATATCCTATTTCTGCTCTACCAGCTTGGACTTGTCCGTCATCTGCTTTGTTTTGTTTTTAAGGGGTGGAGGACCTAAATGATACCAAGAGGAAGTTGCTGGGCTGAAATACACAAGCTATTTATTAAAAAAAGCACCAGTCAACTGACTGAGACAGGTGAGCACAACCTCTAGAATACAGCAGACCTCCAGCCTGCTCAGGGACATCACAGCTCTTCCTGTAGCTCCTAGAATTCTGAGTAGGGAACCCAAGCTTCATCTTCTATCATCCTCTGCAGTTCTCAATCAAAGCCTGTACCAAAGAGTCCTGGTTAGCCACTTGTATTTTCACCCAGCCTCGGCTACACTGTTGTGAAGTACAAAGCTAGAGTTTTGACTTTCCTGGACTTCCACACCGTCATGAAGAAACAAAGGTGTGGATTATGGAGCTGTTCACAAAACCAACTGAAAGTAAGGTTCAGCAGGTATACCAACATATTTAATGTATACAGTCATTGCTATTATTAGCAGCAACCAAAGCAGAATAAAGATGGCTGAAATCATTGGAGCAGAAATTTGGGGAGGAGAGGTGTGTTTACTTTCCACAAATTGGCTATCAGGCAGGAAAGAGCCAGTTCATCAATGTAGTAGGGGTTTGTTGTTGTTGAACAAGGTTTTGTCTGTTCCATTGTAGACTCAAACTTGCTATGTAGTCAAGGCTAATATTACACTCCCGATTCTCCTTTCTCTACCTCTCAAGTGAGGGGTTCCAAATGGGTGCCACCATACCCAGCTAAACCAGTGTTTCTGAAATTACACATGGTGGCTTCCTCATCCTTAACGACAGGTTGCTTTCCTATTCTGTCTGTATAGAAAGAGAAGGCAGAGTAAACCCATCCCATGTACACCTCAGTCCAGGCTACTGTACCTAGTCTGTATTGTGAATGGGGAGACCCTGGGGTGTAGGGATCACAAACAGAAGGTATGGTACAGTGGCACACAACTTTAATCCTAGCGGGGTGGTGTTAGAGGGCAGAGGCAGGTGCAGCTCTGAGTTCCAGGCCAGCTTGGTCTACGTAAGTGTTCTAGGCTAGCCAGGGATCTAGTGAGACCCTGTCTCAAAAATAAATAATCACAAATGGAGCCAGTGAACTCAAAATCCACTCATAGGTAAGTATGATGAGGAAGTTCTGGCTATTTATATAGTGTATGGGGTGGGGAGGGGGGAAGCATCTAAACAAGCTAATAGGGAGTTACTATTTTTCAAAGTTGAGAGACCTATAATATTATATCTTGGCATCACTGATATGTGATCAATGTCACATATCAATTAATTGGCAAAATATTCTTCCATGTGGAACATAAACTAAGGATATGTAAAGTAACTGAAGCAACATATTTTATGAGGGGTGGTGTATTAGGGTTCTCTAGAGTCACAGAACTTATGGAATGAATCTTCCTAGATCTAAAAAAGGATTTATTGGAATCCGGCTTCAGTCCAGCTAATCCAACAATGGCTAGCTGTGAATGGAAAGTCCAAGAATCTAGTAGTTGCTAAATGCCACAAGGCTGGATGTTTGAGCTTGTCTTCTGTATATGCTGGAATCCTGAAGAAGGCTCCAATGTCAGTGAAGGAATGGATGTGCTAACAAGACAAGGGTAAGCAGGCAAAGAGCAAAACCTTCCTTCTTCTATGTCCTTATATAGACTTCCAGCAGAAGGTATGGCCCATATTGAGGGTAAGTCTTCCAGCTTTAATATTTGGATGAAAGCCATGTGTCTTCCCACCTCAAGACCCAAATTAAAGGCCTGTGTCTTCCTGTCTCAAGATCTGGATCAAAAGTGTGTGTCTTCCTACCTTTAAGGGTCCAGACTAGAAGTGGATTAACCCCCTTCAAACCAAAGACAGCTCAGGGGGTAAAGGCACCTACCACTTGACCTACACCCACATGATGGAAGGGCGTGAACTGACACCTGCAAGTTGTTCTCTGACCTTGACACACACCATGGCACGTGTGCCCGTTCACACACTAAATAAGCTTCTCTGGGAGAGAGGGGATCTGCCCCAAATTTACACACCCAGCCCCCAATCCTGCTTCGCCTTGCTTAGTTCTCCATAGTCAGAACACAGGGAGAGGCCCTTCACTCCCATACTCCTCCTCTGTCCTTGTGCACTCTGTTCTCAGGCCCGGCTCAGCCTTGGATGAAACTGTTCCCTATCTCTGCTCCTTCTCAGTTAGTTCTGTACTTCTATGATAACTCTATCATACTGCTTTATAATTGATTTTTTTGGTAGGGAGTAGGTAGTCTCAACCAATCAGAATGTGAAAATCAAGAGTTATACATCAACGATCTTTTTAGCTCCAGTAGCTGATCCAAATCATGGAGTCACGTCCATAAAATGTCATTCCCAGATTCTAAGCCCTACTAGCTTCTCTGCTCCCAATTCTCAGATTCCCACTTTACAATCCTGCTTCAACAGCAAGATCTGATTATTAGCCATCTTCTGCCACAGTCACCCAGATTTTCTCCTACCCACCCCTCTCAGGGAAGGTCAGCATTCCAATATTATGTTGTGAAATATTATTTTAAGATGTGTTACATTTGTTTACACTATGGAACATTTGTTTAATGATGCAAAGCTGTGCTGCATTCTTTTATGTGGCATTTGTTTAACTCTGTGAAGCTGTGTTACTGTGCCTGTCTAATAAAGAGCTAACAGACAATATTGAGGCAGGAGAAAGGATGGGCAGGGCTGGCAGGTCGAGAGAATAAATAGGAGAAAACTGGATGTAAGAGAAGAAAGAACAAGAGAACAAAGGATACTAGGGGCCAGCCACATAGCCAGCCAGGAGTAAGAGTAAAAAAAAGATATACAGAGGTAACAAAAGAAAAAAGCCCAGAGGCAAAAGGTAGATGGGATAATTTAAAGTTAAGAAAAGCTGGCTAGAAACAAGCCAAGCTGATGCTGGGCATTTTAAGTAAGAATAAGCCTCCTTGTGTGATTTATTTGGGAGCTGAGTGGCACACTCCACAAAAGAGCAAAAACAAACAACAACAATATCCCATTTCCATCAATGTGGCCAAAGTCTATTTTATCCTAAATGCCAAATCTTAAACTAATCCTTTGTTTTCTACAAACAACTCCTTCCCATGTATTTTCTATTTTGATCCTGGGCATGTAAGTAGGATACCACCTCCAGAAGCCTTAACTCAGAAAGTTCCACCTGAGGTTTGCAGAGTTCTGTAATAACTATTGGAACTATTATCCAGTCTCAGTCCTGTTTGTTAGTCTCCTGTAGAAAGTAACATGTCACCCACTACCCTTGTGTCTCAGTTTCCTTAACTCTTTTTTCCCCCTGAGACAAGGTCTCACTATGCATCTTTGGCTGACCTGCCCACCATTCACTATGTAGATCAGGGTAGCCTCAACCTCACAGAGACCAGCCTTTCTCTGCCTTTCAGATGCTGAGATTACAGGCAATCACCATTCTGGCTGGTAAGATTCGGTTTCCTTACCTCTTCCTCTTGTTCTTTAAGCTTTTAGATTGACTTTGTGTGTACAAGTATTTTGTCTGCTTGTATGTGTGTGCACCATGTGTGTGCAGTGCCTGCAGAGTTCAGAGGAGGGTATTAGATGGTTATGAGCCAAGTGAATGCAGAAAACTGAACCTAGGTCCTCTGAAAGCAACAAGTCCAGTGAACCAAGGATCCAACTCTCCAGCCCCAGCTTTCCTTATCTCTTTGACAAGAGAAAATTGTTTGGCTAAGTTTACCAACTTGTTTGAAGTTTGAAGGGACATATAAATAAAAGTGTTTGAATGCCCAATTAAGAGAGAAGGGGCAGAGAGGCAATCGGCTTCCAATAGTCAAAGCTGCACCAATTTGAGCAACAAAACAAAGTACAACTGGACTATAACCCAATGTCTAAAACCAGTATCTGCAAGTCCATACTAATATAAATAAATGGATGGATAAAATAATGAAGGGGACACATTTCCCATACAGAATAATTTAAAATCCGTACCCCTCTAATTCCTTACATGAGCAGAGTGACGTCCTTCCAAATAATACTATATGCAAAGGAAGAAAAAACAGTGCAGAACTTGATGTTGCAGAAAACCAACACATACTCAGCTGGGTGAGCAGGTCGGTATCATCATCAATCCTGACAACATGAAATCCTTGCTAAGGTGTTCTGAATATGGTAACCTAATTCCACCCTTTTAACACATAAGCCCAATCTTAAGAATAAGACATAAAACATGAGGGTACCATACAAATACAGTTTACATCACAATGCGCCTCACAGGTCCACATGGGAAAGACTTGTTCCTTGCATTGGCACCACTGGAAAACAGTACACACTTTAAGCAGTGGGGCTCTTTAGGACACTGAGAGAGCATCACAGGAGGAGACTGTGAAACTCTGATGTATTCCCTCCCCTCTCTCTCTCCCCCCAGCTATGACAAGAGTGTTTTGTTCCACTGTATACTCCTTATCATGAGCTGCCTCACCAGCGGACCAGATCAACAGGTACCAACGGATCATGGATTAGAACCTCCAAAGCTGTGAGTTATCTCTCAGAACTTTGAAAGTTCACACAAACAGTCTAAAAACTGTCACAGCCAACCAAACGCAATGCAGTAACTTGGATGAGCATATGGAGGGATCAGTATTTGTGTAAAAAAGGAGATGTGAATAAATATACAGTGGACTTTGGCCAATAATAATGTGTAAGATGTTAATGAAAGAGCAATCAGTTGGTGGTTATATAGGAAGTCTACAGATTGTTTTCTCAATGTTTCTGTAAATCTACAACTGTTCTAAAAAATAAAGTGAATTAAAAATTACAACCTGGCAGATGCCTGTAATCTCTGTGATTTAAGCATTCAAGAGGCAGAAGGCTAACATGCGCTTTTGGGCCACTTTCAGACCATTCTTTGGAATATCCTGTCTCAATAATAATAATAAACAAGTTGCAATTTTAAAACATTAACGAGCCGGGCGGTTGGTGGCGCACGCCTTTAATCCCAGCACTCAGGAGGGGCAGGCGGATCTCTGTGAGTTCGAGGCCAGCCTGGGCTACCAAGTGAGCTCCAGGAAAGGCGCAAAGCTACAAAGAGAAACCCTGTCTCGAAAAACCAAAAAAAAAAAAAAAAAAAAAAAAAAAAAAAAAAAAAAAAAAAAAAAAAAAAAACATTAACGAAAGCTTGCTTTTAGAAAAGGTGTTTTGTTGTTTCTTTTTAACTTGGGAGGAATACTCCAGGGATCATGATTTCATCTAACAAAAAGAGGTTCAGGCATGCATGAACACATGTCATTCTTCCCTTTTCCGAGGCACACACAAATGGCTGCACTGTCAAAATCTGGAATGTACTGGAAATTTTTAAGTGTCTCCTCCCATTCACTCCACAAAGTTAAATTCATACACTCTTTACCTTCTTTCCTCCCTCCCCTCCCTTTTTCCCCTTTTTTGGTCAGGGTTTCTCTGTGTAGACCTGGCTATCCTGGAACTCACTCTGTAGACTAGGCTGGCCTTGAACTCAGAGATCCATCTTCCTCTGCCTCCCGAGTGTTGGGATTAAAGGTGTGCACCATCACCATCCTGCTTATACACTTTTTTCCCCCTAAAGCTAATTAGTTAGTAAATCATCAGGGATAATATAATACACAGCTTCGGGTTCAAGTGGCTAAGCTAATTTACTCTGAAATAATAAATAAATAAATAAATAAATAGAAATAAATGGAGACCTGCCTTTGGTCATGCAGCGCTCCAGGCCACCAGGAAGAGCGGAAGAACGTCATCCGGGTTCCACTCACTTCTGGATCTGGGGACTAGAAGAGACTGAAGTAAGTCTGGGCCGGACCTGAAGAGCCATGAACGCAGCGAGCTCAGGGCGAGAGGCCCAGAAGCGAGCCGGGGACGCGGCGGGCACCCGAGCTCGCCATCCCGCG